ATAATTGAGTAAAAACAAAGTTTCCTGAAGCACGGGCGAGCAGAGAGTGGAAATGAGCGTGTCGCACGGACTCGTGTATCATATTCGCTGCGAATGGTACATTACGTTCTATAACGCCAGTCAGTACCCACCTTTAAGCGTGCATGAGGTTAAACGAGTTATTTATTATTTATTATATATACTTTTTATCTCGTATTATTATGAAAATTATAAACTTTAAAGACTATAAAAACTAAGATATTTTTTCTCATGAAAACTAAGATTTTGTTTAAAAGATTTTTTCAAACTACGATTGATCGACTGAATACACAGATTAGCTAATTACAGCTAATATACTTTGACAGCTCGGTGATCAACCGAAAAGGCTTTGAGAAACCCGATTTTCTGTTGATCGTCCGTTAATCGGTCATTAATTGCGAATCAAAGTCAACGTTGTTGCCAGGCGTTCTAACAACTCAAATATTGTCAAACAACAATTATGAAGATATTAATTGTAAGTAAAAATTATTTGACCTTTCGGCCGTAAGCCGTAAGGTGTACCGTGAATTAACGATAATTTTACGGAGATCACTTTCAGCTTCCATTTTTTTCATCAGAAAAAACATAAATATTTGTACATTCTAATCCTCCTTCATAAGACGTTCGTTATCCTGGCTAATGTGATCAGGATTTAACTTTGTCTAACGTCGTTCGATAAATATTAAATAACAATCAACAGAACAATTAAAACTTTATTACGGATATAATTGACAATGTTATATACAACTTTGCAACAATTGTCATCAGTGGAATACTTATATTAGCTGTGCATGAGTAAATTTGTTCAGACCTCATTTGAAGACCTCCGACTAGAGAACTCATCCATTTCAAGGTAAGTAACGACGACTCTTTTTTAAAACTATTTCATTTAGATTTTAGAGAAATGTGAATGTTGCGAATTTGTTAATAGGGTATCTTTAATAACCTATAGTCTACCTTTTAGCTAATTCAATTACCTATGTCCCTACCAATTCATTGTAGAAATTGATTAAACAAAATTTTCTCACCAATTCATCTGTAAGAGTATTGCCGTTTTTCGTACAAACATTTTGCTGCAATCATAAATAAGAATATACTTTCATTGTTCGTATCGTTATGAAATATCATTCCTGCTTCATTGACATTCGGCTTGGAAGTCTTTTGAGTTTTGTTGAAAAACACTCAAAAGATTCTTACTTAAATGACCTTTTCTGCGATGGTAACTTTGTCCAATTGATATTTGTAAATATATGTGTTGAAATAAAATATTAGTGTGTAATATTTGTATTAAAAATATGTGTTGAAATAAAAAAACAATTTATTCCAGATGAAGAAGTTTCTGATTGTCCTGGTGCTCATGGTGGTGGCTGTGTGCACCGCCGCCCCAACGGCCCATTCGCGAGAATATTGCTACTTTTTCACTTGCTAGAAATAAAAATAGTAAACAGTAATTTCAAAGGTAGAAAAAGATAGAAGCACTAGTACTTTATAATATACTGAAATAGAGACCTATCCATCCCGTCTAATTTCTAAATAACCTATTTGGAACTACTGTATGGTTGTATACTGCGTAATATGTAATTATTTTATAATTATGTAAAATAAAACCATTTGTGTAAATATTTTTTGCTTTTATTTGAAACTTGTACTCCTCGTCATCACATAAATTTTTACCAATAAGTATTTTATTTAAATTTTTAACAGTGGTTGTAAATAAAAAATCCACTCGATAAATTAATTAAGAAAATTAAATTATTTTTGTGTTTATTACATTTTATAACTGTCATGAACAAAATTTTATTGTATTCGTAATTATGTAATAATACAATAAAATTATGTAACTTAAGATCTTATATTTTAAGCAACGCGAACATGAGTATAGGCGTAAACGATAACCATTATGTTTGCGCATGTTCATTCGCATGTACTCAGTGGATTCCATACCACACGCATGGGTTTTTAACAATGATCGCCAAACAATAGGTGGCAACAAGCAATGATTTGTTGGACCAAAACCCATTCAGGAATTACGGTTGCTAATGGAATTTGAGATGAACTCGAACGTGTTAGCCCTTTTTGTCAGATTGTGTGACCAGCTAGTAATCGAGTATATTGTGGATAGAGAAGGTAACAAGATTATTTTTTTAGCCTTTATTAATGTGATTTTAAAATAAGCGCCCCAGAGGCAATTTAAAAGCTTAATAAATAGCTTTAGGGACCAAAGAAGTATGAGCTCTTTATTTGACGATTTAGTTTGAAGCCAAAACTCGGAAAGACAGCAACAGATGAGGCTTTATAACCTCCACTCTCCAATATTGAGGCTATGTGTTTTTTCATTCAACTGTGAAAGTACTGTAGAGTCGAAACGAGTTTTAAATAAATAATTAACAATACAGGCCTACGCACGAAGTTTAAAAGACCCTCTGTATATACAATGTATGCACCCAGATTTGAAATAAAACTCTTTGGGATTAGTGCATGAAGAAATAAATACCCTCTAAGTACAACGCCCAATTGAAAATTTATCGAATAGGAAATCACAACTTGCACATTTAAAAAAGTAAACTAATAGCGCATACATGTCCCGCTGTACAGAGGGTATAGTTCAACTAAGGCTATACTAATTTGTGTTTCTTAAATATAGCGGCACAGACAAGCCGTTGCAGTAATGCCAGACAACGTAATGAATGCACCATGCATTATTGTTAATTAAAGAATTATTAATTATTTATTAGTTCAGAGATACTTGGCTTGGCATCTGTCTTCGTAAAAAGAGTTTAATTTAGTAATGTGACATTTGTAGATAAATGAACACGTACAATCTGCGCTGCGGTATTCGAAACTGTGTATTTACTAACTAAACAATGTGGCCGATGACTTTGCGTCGCAAAAATCTTGACATTTATTTACGCATTAAAAATTAAAACCAATCATAAATTCAAACACTCATTCACTTCAATACCACCAAATGTTGTAATACTAACAACGAAATCATGTCATTAATTTACAGTTTTGAGAACTCTTAGTATGGAACCAAAGTACGTAACCGTAGAGGTACAAAGTATGGTAACCACAAACCACCTTCAAGTTATTTTAAAACCCGGGAAGTAAAATGTCTTTTATAACTTTGATGATCAGAAAAACGACAACGACTATGATTACGGCGGTGACTAATATTCTAAATTCATTATAAAATAAATTTTATTCTATTGTCAGCTCGCTGAAGGTCGATTTAGGTTCGGATCTTCTACCATAAGTTTAACAATGTTTACAATATTAAATATAAACTAGGTTACACGTTATCCATCAAACTTACCTCGCCTAGAAAGTTAGCTGTATTTCTTCATCAAATTATTAACGTAATGGCTGTTTACAAATAAATAATCACTGGAGTTTAACTTAATTTAAGGGATACCCACTTGAAACAAGCTAGACTGATCAATAGGGCATAAAATAAATAGGCCTATATTTATACCTTTAAAATCAATTGAATTATTTTTAATACAAACACTTTCCCTAAAATGTCTACACGTTTCGCAGATATCACCAAAGATATGAAGTATTTTTTTAAACGCTAACTTGATATAGTGACACGCTAACATAACTTTAGAATCGCTGTGCAATCAAATGCTATGATGGCATGATTATATTTTGTGTTATATTTCTTTTGGCACGTTTGGAAATAATTTTGAGAGTAACATTTTTACGACACATGCGCACACCGACAGCCAAAAAGCGACATCAAGGTTCACGCTACATTATTTTTGACAATTACAATTGTACTTAATGTCTTTCACAAAAAAAGAGTGATCAAACGCAGGTGATAAAATTTTGTGATTTTTCAGTTGTAACGCTTAAGAAAATAAATGAAAAATTTTGCACGTACGTAGGTACATAAGTACGATAGAGACGTAGAAGAAGATCCGTGATAGCTCGTTGTCCGGGCGCACGCCTTTAATTCAATTATACTTGAGCGACCTGAGTTCGATCCCCAGTGCCGGCATCAATGAAGTTTTTAACTTTAAGTGCTGTTTTATCACGTGCTCCGCGGTGAAGAAAAACATCGTGAGGAAACCTGCATAGTTTCGAAATAATAATAAAAAATATATTTCGAAGATTTGTAAGACGGGGCTCGTGGTGGACTATGCCCTGCCCAGCAGTGGGACATGTATAGGCTGATATTTTCTTTTTTTTTACATAAGTACACACGTACTTGTTTTTTCTTCAGAGAAGGCGGCAAACGTCCGTACCGTTCCGCTGATATCCATTGTTCATGGACATTTGCATGGGGTCTGACTTGCCCCTCCAGTGCAGTTAATGTCTCCACACAATACCTCTGCTTAACAACGACATTTATTTATCGTGTCTTTAAATAAACATTAAATAACAGTCAGCAGAACAACTAATACTTTATTGTTGATAGAATCGACAACGTTAATCGTAACTTTATGGCGAGTGCAATCAGTCTTTTATATATTTTTGCAGTGCACAACTAAATTTATTCAGAACTCAACTCTGATTACAGACCAGAAAACACATCCACTTCAAGGTAAGCAATGAAGACTCTTTTTACAACTATTTCATTAACATTTTAGAGGAGTGTGAATTTGCTTATAGGGTATCTTTTATAACCTATAATCTATCTTGTAGGTAAATAAATCAATAATGTCCCTACCATCTCCTTATACAAATTGACAAAACGAAATTTTCGCACCAATTCATCTGATAGGGTATGGCCGTTTTTCGTAAAAACATTTGCCCCGACATCATAAATAAGAATATCCTTCCTGTTTCCTATCATTATCATAAATAGCATTCATACTATACGTGAGGCTTCATTCCTTCTTATTTAACATTGGGTTTAGTATTATCTTAAGTTTGGTTTTAATATTCTTCTCTCATACGTCTTAGGTATTCTATCACTATCAAATTTATATTTTTAGATACGTAAATAACAGTTTACATAATCTGACTAATTCCAGATGAAGAAGTTTCTGATTTTCCTGGCGCTCATGGTGGCCGTGTGCTACGCCGCCCCAACCGAGCCGGAGGCCGAGGCCGAGGCGCCTCTCGTAGAAGACGCGGACGCGATTCCGGAGCCAATGCAGGGCCCCTTGGCCGATTTATGCAAATATCCACTGACGTTAGTCCCCTACTTGAAGGACAATTTGAATAATCCCGTAGTGGAAGCAATCATTAAAATGTTGTGTCCGGTCTGATCATAATTCATTTGTTGTACCATTCTCGCTAATGTACTTGGCCCCACGAAAAGATTTCAAATAAACAGTATTAAAATTTTTACACAATTTTTATTTATATATTTCCACGCCAATAATATTATCGATATTGTCATGAAATATACTTGGCAGAAAACGGTTAAATATTTTCATAATTCATTTAAATTGAACTCATTTTTAGGGTTCCGTACACAAAGGGTAAAACTGGATCCTATTACTAAGACTCAGCTGTCTGATGTCTTAGACGGTTGAAATTTTCACAGACGATGAATTTTTTTGCTGTTTGTAAGAACGAATAGGTACTAAAAAACAGAAAAAATATTTAAGTGGGGCTCTCATACAACAGCTAACTATAACAAATACAAAAAAGCAATACAAAATAACAATAACAAATACAAAAATAATACCAACAAAATAAATGTTTTGAATGAAGTCTGTCAATCCGCGTGGTGTCTATGACTATGCCATAATAATTGCCCAGCTGCGGTACATGTATAAGCTGTTACTTTACTTTACCGGCGAAAAAGTAAAAATGCAGTTCACACAAGGTGGAAATTATGTAATGTGCGTGGAGAAGATGTACGAGCAAATGAGAATGCTTACGATGTTGAAGATGCACCATATTACGGAAGGCCCGTTGCAGCCAACGTTTGAAAAAAAAAAGGAAATTATTCATTCTTGTAGAGAATAATTACTGACGACGAGAGATGTGTTGTTAACAATAATGTCCAGCGCAAGATGAGCCAAGAGATGGAATAAAGATAAAGACATAAAATAAAGACGACCTATCTGAAACCACTTCGAATGCCGTTAATCACCAAAATAAAGGTTATGCTAAGTGTTTGGTTCAACTCTCGCCGCAGGTTCATCTCCTCGCAGCGACAAAAAAGTTTTCGTCATTTTAAATATATGTATCATCTTATTATATCTAATAAAGACCATAGTGAGTTATTGCTATCTTCGAAATATTTTTTTTTTTATTACTTCGAAAATATGCAGGTTTCCTCACGATGTTTTATTTTACCGCTTAGCACATGATAATTTGGCACTGAAAATTTACTATCTCATTGGTTCCGGCACCGGGAATCGAACTCAGGTTGCTCGAGTATATTGAATTAAAAGCGAGCGCCCGGACACTGAGCTATCACGGCTCACTTCGTATTTAAAAGGGCGTATTTATTTTTTTTCCGTTTTTCGGTTTTCATAATTTAATAATGGTGTTGCTTTTTAAATATTCGTCGTATAATTGCATAATTTCTGTATAGATACATTTAATTTAAATAATACCTGTTTATATTCTATTAAATGTTGAATTAAAAAAAAAAAAAAAAACCTCTAAAATAAAAAAAAAAACTAAATTAAAACAGGCTCCTCTTATTTGCAAAGTACGTTACGCGAGAGATGTGCGGATTCCCGTTCATCAGCTATGGTGTATAAATCTTTACTTTTGATAAATATTTATTTAGGTTAGATTTTCAAGATTTGATTACATTAAATAAAGCATTATTTTAAACTTTTTAGTGATAAAATATTTATTTGAAGTCGGTTCTTTTTTTGAAAGTTTTTTTTATTTCTAGACATGCTAACGCCCATCCTATAAAAACAGATGGCGGGTATGGATTAACCTTTCTTTCTAACTAACCTTCTTTTTTCTTTAATTGCTTTGGTTCCAGTGCGTGGAATGTCGACAACTCGACATCTAACGAAATTATAGCCATCTTTCTATCCCAATTTCTCCTCCAAAAATGTTTTGATAGCACTAATTGAAAATAAAGATTATTTGTGCGTTAAATAAGCAATAAACCATTTTTTCTAAAGTTACTTTGTGTTTATTTGCACGCATTTTAACTTTGGGCCACTTGAACCATATATTAAAAAGTATTGCTCCTTAATAATAAACAAAACTTTCTTATTATCTATTCTATATTTATTTATACTGAAGACGGAGAAACATTATTCAAGTCGGTTTTTTCATAAAAACAGATTTTTTTGGGGATAACTTAATCGCACTTGACTAGAGCCGTGATAGCTCTGTGTCCGGGCGCTCGCCTTTAATTCAATATACTCGAGCAACCTGAGTTCAATCCCCAATGCCGGCACCAATGAAATTGTCAATTTTAAGTGCTGAATTATCACGTGCTCCGCGGTGAAGGAAAACATCGTGAGGAAACCTGCATATTTTCGAAATAACAACAAAAAAAATATTTCGAAGATATGTGAAGTCCGCCAATACGCAGTGGGGCCGCGTGGTGGACTATCCCCTGATACCCTCTGTATAGAGGAGGCCTTTGCCCAGCAATGGGACATGTATAGGCTGATACTTTACTTTTTTCTTTACTTCAGTCGTTTTATTTTCTTTGTATAATTGTCACGATTCCTTCTCTTTATGTAGTGAATTTCTTGTATCAACTCTCTTCATAGATAATTTAATATTTTATATGAAAAAGCAGTTATTGACGACCTTGTAACCGTTTCGAATTTATTTGCCTTTTCGAAATAAAATAGTAATTCATAATCATAGTTCTTCGTTTGTTAATTCTCTTTTGATATAGATATTCCATTATTTAATAGTAATTTTATGAGAACGTTATTATATTTCTTTATTGTAAATAAAAAAAAAACAATAATCACGATGTCTCTTTTTCATTTCTAAACATTTACCTTGCGAAACAAAACTATAAGAAACAAAAAGCAGGTTAAATTAAGAATAGATTACAAAGTAATAATGTCAATGTAACGATGAGTTCTTGGCGCAGTTCTTGGCTTCGGCGATGGAGGTCGTGGGTTCGATTCCCACACGGGACAAGTATTTGTGTGGCCCACAGATCTGGGTGTTTGTCCGGCTGAAATTCATGTTTGTAAAATGCTGCTACAACACAGGGTGTTATCCTACGGTAAGCGAAAAGGTTTATTAAAACAAAAAAGTAAATAAATCGTTGGAGTCTAGCCTAATTTAAGCTTGTTTTATGAGGATCACTTACATGTTTCGTTTTTCCACAGAAAATCAAAAATATTTATGCAGCTCTAATCTCCCCCCTATAAACCCCTAAAAGACGTTCGGTACCCTATCTAATGTAATCAGGAATTGAATATATGCAATAAAACTTCTCCTTAAGGACGGCCTATATTTATCATGAGCCTTAATAATAATAAATTCAAAAGTATTAAATAACAATCAACAGAACATTCAATAATTTACTATTTATATGATCGATAAAGTTAATCACATTTTTATATCAATTGCCATCAGTCAGGTGCTTAAAAACTGTGTACAGGCTAAATTTATTTAGAGCCAAATTGGTTTGACTAGAGAACACACCCCTTTCAATGTAAGTAACAACGTTTTTTTTTTTCAAACTGCATTTGTGTGACAAAATTTAGTTAAGTCATATCACTGCAAATAGAGGTGACATTCTACACTAAACAAATTGATTGTACAAAATAATTGTCTGAACATAACTTTCTGAGAAATTTATCGCCGATAGAGTATCAGTTACCGTTTTTCTTACAAATATTTGCTGACATCATAAATAAGAATATCTATGCCATTCCTTTGTTCTTATCATTATTATAAATAATAAATGCATGCTATTCATGAAATTTCACTCTATTCGTTCTTAATTAACATCGAGTATACTTTTTAAATTTGTTATATCAATATCAAAAGAGTCTTAGATATTTAAAGTACAAATACTTCAATGGTCACATTACAAGATTTATATTCAAATTTCTATATAAATTAATAACAATTTACATAATCTGACTTATTCCAGATGAAGAAGTTTCTGATTTTCCTGGCGCTCACGGTGGCCGTGTGCTACGCCGCCCCAACGGAGCCGGAGGCCGAGGCCGAGGCGCCTCCCGCAGAAGCCATAGACGCGATTCCGGAGCCAATGCAGGGCCCCTTGGCCGAATTATGCAAATTGCCACTGACCTTGGTCCCTTACTTGAAGGACAATTTGAATAATCCCATAGTCGATAAAATCGTAAGCATGTTGTGTCCTTTCTGATTATGATTCATTTGTTGTAAGAAAAGACGAAAAGAAGAAAGACCCCACGAAAAGATTTCAAATAAACACTATCAAAATTTTTACACATTTTTTATTCATATATTTCCACGGGCCAACAAATATCTATATTTTCAAATGATTAGATACTTTCATAATTCATTCGAATTTGAGTTATTTTAGAGAAATTAAATATACTTTTCGACTTAAAAAGGACAGACGGTCGCCGTTTAATTAATTTTTGGTAATGAAATTTAAAGTCTTTAGTCAAAGTGAATTAAATTAGTTACTTATTTTATGTTCGTTGTGAAGCATATGTGAATTTCAAAATTTACCACTGGACCGTAAACTTTCTCCCGAATTATAGAAATTACTTAATGAACGTACAGTCGCCTGTACTCGCGGTGTTTCACCCTTAGGGCGATAATCGTTTGAACGAAGTGCAGGCGGCCCACCGGTAACACGGATGCAATAACCAATAGGAAGACACTTTAAAATGTATGTGTGCGCATGAAAGATTCGCTCCATTCAATAGTTTAGTTATTATTAATCTCAAGTCAGTTGTTTTTACAAATATAAATTGAATGATAATGAAACACTATAAATGTGTATAAATAAAATAGTGGATTTCGGTTAAAACGACGTTGGAGGGACCAAACGCTGTAAGGTGTGTGTTCCATTTTAATAATTTCTTCAATATTCAAATGATTGTTGCCTTCACCAAACAAACAATACTTTTTACCGTTGTCATAGCGCATATCTGATTCAGAAGTTCAACTTTCTACACGTGCTAAGTCCTACCTACAAACAAGAGAATATAATATCTGTGGTAATGGGGCCCCGTTTAAATATTTTTTTATTCTGTTTTTAAGTATTTGTTGTTACAGCGGCAATAGAAATTAATCATTTTTGAAAATTTCAACTGTATTGACTATCACGATTTATGAGATACAGACAGACAGCGAAGTCTTTGTAGAAGTTTAACCCTTTGGGTACGGAAGCTTAAAAAGGAATGCTTATGGAAACATGGGATCCGATGACCCATATGATTTCATTTTATATTGCTTGAGAGTGGGCAAATATGCACGTACGTTGGCAAACATTGGATGTACAGTCCTGCGTTCGCGGTGTTCCATTTAAGAAATGTTTGCCTTAATCCAACCCAGTGGAACTCCGCCCCCTTTAGCAGCTAGCCAATTAGGATGCATTTGGGATTTATTATCTTAGTGTGCAAACGCTTCGGTAAAAAAAATATAGTAAAGAGTATGAAAGCCCGTTGCGATCCCGATATTGACGCAGAAAGGGGAACCGACAAAATATTAGACATAATGCACCGTTAAAGACAAATCGTTACTAAACAAAAAAATATTTTACACAGGAGCATAAATAAAAATTCTACTAAAGTAAGTAAAAAGCATGGATCTCATTTTTTGAATTAGAATAAAACATTGATTATATTTAGTGCCAATAATTACATGGGATTTTACATTAATTAATAAATAAAATTTAATGGAAATGTATTCTTATAAAAATTAAGTCATAATTATTATAAGTTTTACTAATAAAACATAACTTTTCTAAATTCAATATTATAGTATAAATAAATATCCATCATTATGTTCTCAAAGCGACCTTAAAATATATTGCAAAAAAGCGGTCTATTTTGTATTCACGCCCCTGTGTTTAAAACATTTCCATTTAGTAACAGTTTGTCTTTAAAGGTGCGATAATATAAAATAATTTCTATTGTTAATTTAATTACTGAAATTATATCAGTTTATCTTTGATGATAATCTGATGTGATATTTCTTGATTTTGCATGAATTATGTGTACTAAATACAGTGAATTTCATTAAATTTCGGTTATAGCAACGTCAGCATACACGCATACTTTACTCACTCATAAAAGCATACTTTCGTAGGAAATTCATTCGGATATAGCGTGGATTTCCATTACAGCGATTGTTGTTCCATTTATGAAAGATTCCTAGAAATTCCATGTGCATATTGCTACTGAGTTGATATAGGCACAAAGACTCACTCATATAACTATTAACCATTCTTATCCTTTGTTTACATTTACAGAATGCTAGATGTGCTTGCTTTGTTTGTAGGTAGGACTTAGCACGTGTAGAAAGTTGAACTTCTGAATCAGATATGCGCTATGACAACGGTAAAAAGTATTGTTTGTTTGGTGAAGGCAACAATCATTTGAATATTGAAGAAATTATTAAAATGGAACACACCTTACAGCGTTTGGTCCCTCCAACGTCGTTTTAACCGAAATCCACTATTTTATTTATACACATTTATAGTGTTTCATTATCATTCAATTTATATTTGTAAAAACAACTGACTTGAGATTAATAATAACTAAACTATTGAATGGAGCGAATCTTTCATGCGCACACATACATTTTAAAGTGTCTTCCTATTGGTTATTGCATCCGTGTTACCGGTGGGCCGCCTGCACTTCGTTCAAACGATTATCGCCCTAAGGGTGAAACACCGCGAGTACAGGCGACTGTACGTTCATTAAGTAATTTCTATAATTCGGGAGAAAGTTTACGGTCCAGTGGTAAATTTTGAAATTCACATATGCTTCACAACGAACATAAAATAAGTAACTAATTTAATTCACTTTGACTAAAGACTTTAAATTTCATTACCAAAAATTAATTAAACGGCGACCGTCTGTCCTTTTTAAGTCGAAAAGTATATTTAATTTCTCTAAAATAACTCAAATTCGAATGAATTATGAAAGTATCTAATCATTTGAAAATATAGATATTTGTTAGCCCGTGGAAATATATGAATAAAAAATGTGTAAAAATTTTGATAGTGTTTATTTGAAATCTTTTCGTGGGGTACAACAAATGAATCATAATCAGAAAGGACACAACATGCTTACGATTTTATCGACTATGGGATTATTCAAATTGTCCTTCAAGTAAGGGACCAAGGTCAGTGGCAATTTGCATAATTCGGCCAAGGGGCCCTGCATTGGCTCCGGAATCGCGTCTATGGCTTCTGCGGGAGGCGCCTCGGCCTCGGCCTCCGGCTCCGTTGGGGCGGCGTAGCACACGGCCACCGTGAGCGCCAGGAAAATCAGAAACTTCTTCATCTGGAATAAGTCAGATTATGTAAATTGTTATTAATTTATATAGAAATTTGAATATAAATCTTGTAATGTGACCATTGAAGTATTTGTACTTTAAATATCTAAGACTCTTTTGATATTGATATAACAAATTTAAAAAGTATACTCGATGTTAATTAAGAACGAATAGAGTGAAATTTCATGAATAGCATGCATTTATTATTTATAATAATGATAAGAACAAAGGAATGGCATAGATATTCTTATTTATGATGTCAGCAAATATTTGTAAGAAAAACGGTAACTGATACTCTATCGGCGATAAATTTCTCAGAAAGTTATGTTCAGACAATTATTTTGTACAATCAATTTGTTTAGTGTAGAATGTCACCTCTATTTGCAGTGATATGACTTAACTAAATTTTGTCACACAAATGCAGTTTGAAAAAAAAAAAAAACGTTGTTACTTACATTGAAAGGGGTGTGTTCTCTAGTCAAACCAATTTGGCTCTAAATAAATTTAGCCTGTACACAGTTTTTAAGCACCTGACTGATGGCAATTGATATAAAAATGTGATTAACTTTATCGATCATATAAATAGTAAATTATTGAATGTTCTGTTGATTGTTATTTAATACTTTTGAATTTATTATTATTAAGGCTCATGATAAATATAGGCCGTCGTTAAGGAGAAGTTTTATTGCATATATTCAATTCCTGATTACATTAGATAGGGTACCGAACGTCTTTTAGGGGTTTATAGGGGAGATTAGAGCTGCATAAATATTTTTGATTTTCTGTGGAAAAACGAAACATGTAAGTGATCCTCATAAAACAAGCTTAAATTAGGCTAGACTCCAACGATTTATTTACTTTTTTGTTTTAATAAACCTTTTCGCTTACCGTAGGATAACACCCTGTGTTGTAGCAGCATTTTACAAACATGAATTTCAGCCGGACAAACACCCAGATCTGTGGGCCACACAAATACTTGTCCCGTGTGGGAATCGAACCCACGACCTCCATCGCCGAAGCCAAGAACTGCGCCAAGAACTCATCGTTACATTGACATTATTACTTTGTAATCTATTCTTAATTTAACCTGCTTTTTGTTTCTTATAGTTTTGTTTCGCAAGGTAAATGTTTAGAAATGAAAAAGAGACATCGTGATTATTGTTTTTTTTATTTACAATAAAGAAATAGAATAACGTTCTCATAAAATTACTATTAAATAATGGAATATCTATGTCAAAAGAAAATCAACAAACGAAGAACTATGGTTATGAATCACTATTTTATTTCGAAAAGGCAAATAAATTCGAAACGGTTACAAGGTCGTCAATAACTGTTTTTTCATATAAAATATTAAATTATTTATGAAGAGAGTCGATACAAGAAATTCACTACATAAAGAGAAGGAATCGTGACGATTATAAAAAGAAAATAAAACGACTGAAGTGTCAAGTACGATTAAGTTATCCCCAAAAAAATCTATTTTTATGAAAAAACCGACTTGAATAATGTTTCTCCGTCTTCAGTATAAATAAATAAAGAATAGAAAATAAGAAAGTTTTGTTTATTATTATGAAGCAATACTTTTTAATATATGGTTCAAGTTCGCGATCGCAGTTATAGTTAAATGACCCAAAGTTAAAATGCGTGCAAATAAACACAAAGTCACTTTAGAAAAAATGGTTTATTGCTTATTTAACGCACAAATAATCTTTATTTTCAATTAGTGCTATCAAAACATTTTTGGAGGAGAAATTGGGAAAGAAAGATGGCTATAATTTCGTTAGATGTCGAGTTGTCGACATTCCACGCACTGGAATCAAAGCAATTCGTTCAGTTTGCTTACAGCGAAAGGTTAATCCATACCCGCCATCTGTTTTTATAGGATGGGCGTCAGCATGTCTAGAAATAAAAAAAAACTTCCAAAAAAAGAACCGACTTCAAATAAATATTTTATCACTAAAAAGTTTAAAATAATGCTTTATTTAATATAATCAAATGTTGAAAATCTAACCTAAATAAATATTTATCAAAAGTAAAGATTTATACACCATAGCTGATGAACGGGAATCCGCACATCTCTCGTGTAACGTACTTTGCAAATAAGAGGAGCCTGTTTTAATTTAGTTTTTTATTTTTATTTTAGAGGTTTTTTTATTTTTTTTTTGTATTTCAATATTTAATAGAATATAAACAAGTATTATTTAAATTAAATGTATCTATACAGAAATTATGCAATTATACGACGAATATTTAAAAAGCAACACCATTATTAAATTATGAAAACCGAAAAACGGAAAAAAGAGAAATACGCCCTTTCAAATACGAAGTGAGCCGTGATAGCTCAGTGTCCGGGCGCTCGCTTTTAATTTAATATACTCGAGCAACCTGAGTTCGATTCCCGGTGCCGGAACCAATGAGATAGTAAATTTTCAGTGCCAAATTATCATGTGCTAAGCGGTAAAATAAAACATCGTGAGGAAACCTGCATATTTTCGAAGTAATAACAAAAAAAAATATTTCGAAGATAGCAATAACTCACTATGGTCTTTATTAGATATAATAAGATGATACATATATTTAAAATGACGAAAACTTTTTTGCCGCTGCGAGGAGATGCACCTGCGGCGAGAGTTGAACCAAACACTTAGCATAACCTTTATTTTGGTGATTAACGGCATTCGAAGTGGTTTCAGATAGGTCGTCTTTATTTTATGTCTTTATCTTTATTCCATCTCTTGGCTCATCTTGCGCTGGACATTATTGTTAACAACACATCTCTCGTCGTCAGTAATTATTCTCTACAAGAATGAATAATTTCCTTTTTTCAAACGTTGGCTGCAACGGGCCTTCCGTAATATGGTCCATCTTCAACATCGTAAGCATTCTCATTTGCTCGTACATCTTCTCCACGCACATTACATAATTTCCACCTTGTGAGAACTGCATTTTTACTTTTTCGCCGGTAAAGTAAAGTAACAGCTGGGCAATTATTATGTCATAGTCATAGACACCACGCGGATTGACAGATTTCATTCAAAACATTTATTTTGTTGGTATTATTTTTGATTTTGTTATTGTTTTTTTGTATTTGTTATAGTTAGCTGTTGTATGAGAGCCCCACTTAAATATTTTTTCTGTTTTTTAGTACCTATTCGTTCTTACAAACAGTAAAAAAATTCACCGTCTGTGAAAATTTCAACCGTCTAAGACATCAGACAGCTGAGTCTTAGTAATAGCATCCTGTTTTACCCTTTGTGTACGGAACCCTAAAAATGAGTTCAATTTAAATGAATTATGAAAATATTTAACCGTTTTCTGCCAAGTATATTTCATGACAATATCGATAATATTATTGGCGTGGAAATATATAAATAAAAATTGTGTAAAAATTTTAATACTGTTTATTTGAAATCATTTGTGGGACCAATTTCATTTGCGAGAATGATACAACGAATGAATTATAATCAGAACGGACACAACGTTTTAATGATTGCTTCCACTACGGGATTATTCAAATTGTCCTTCAAGTAAGGGACCAAGGTCAGTGGCAATTTGCATAATTCGCCCAAGGGGCCCTGCATTGGCTCCGGAATCGCGTCTATGGCTTCTGCGGGAGGCGCCTCGGCCTCGGCCTCCGGCTCCGTTGGGGCGGCGTAGCACACGGCCACCGTGAGCGCCAGGAAAATCAGAAACTTCTTCATCTGGAATAAGTCAGATTATGTAACTTATTATTAATGTTTCTGCAAATACCTAAGACTCTTTGACATAATGCCAAATTTCAAATGTATAAATATAATAAGAACAAAGGAATCGCATTGATATTCTTATTTATTATATCAGGGCAGCTATTTGTAAGAAAAACTGTTATATTCTATCGGCGATAAATTTCTCAAAATTTTTTGTTTACAAAGTTTGTACAATCAATTTATTTAGTGTGTAATGTGACCTCTTTTGGCAGTGATAGCTTTTAACTATATCAGCCAAATGCAGTGAAAAATGAAAAGAAACGTTTTTTACCTTGAAGGGTATGTTCTTAAGTCTGAAACCAATTTGTCTCTAAATAAATTTGGCTTGTACACACCTAATATAAGTATCGCACTGATGACAATTGACATAAAATTGTGATTAACGTTGTGGATTCTATCAATAGTATAGTATTAATTGTTCTGTTGATTGTTATTTAATACTTCTGAATTTATTATTATCAAGGTACATTATAAGTAAAGGCAGTCGTTAAGCAGAAGTTTTACTGCATATGTTTAAATCCTGATTACATTAAATAGAGTAGATACCGTACGTCCTTTAGCGGGTTATCGCGGAGACTAGAGCCGTTCGGTTGGCGCTGTGAAGAAACATGCTAGTGATTCTCATAAGATAAGGCTAGACTCCAATGATATAATACCTATCCTCCTATGATATATTTTTTTTATTTAAACCGTTGCTTACTGTAGGTTAACATCCCGTATTGTAAGAGCGTTTAACAAAAATAAATTTTATGTGGACAAACACCCAGAGCCGAAACAATTATCTATGGGTCAAATCCTTAATCCCGTGTTGAAATCGATCCCACGACCCCGGCGCCGAAGCAATTGCGCCACGGAGTCATCATTACATCATATCTTTATTTCACCTTTAATTTTATCATTTTTTTCTAAAGCGCATATTTTAGAAATGAAAAAAGATATATTGATTACCAACGTTCGAAATGAATTTGAATTTCAATGATTCTTGAAAGTTATTGGAATTTCATTTATTTATTTATTTAGTCTTACCAAGTAAACTCATACAGACATTATTAATAAACGTTTACAGTAACTAACAGATATATTATATTACTAGCTGCTGCCCGCGACTACGTCTGCGGCTGAAGGTGCAACATTCAGACAGAAATACAGGTACATAAAATATGTATATGAATTATAGCCTGTGTTATTCTGATATTCTGACGTATAATATTATTTTAAAGATTCATTAAAATCAATTCAGTAGTATTTTATAATTTGTATTAAATGTAAATAAATATTAAAGACAATCTTTATTGATCTAATATTTACAAGATTAAATCTATCTAAAATTACATATTATCTAATAAACCTAATCCACGCGGCATGGTGCCAAGAACGCTAGCTGCATTTCCTCGCTGAATAGTTATGCTTAACCTTTGCGCGAGAAAAGAACCAGCTCTCTGGTCACCAGCCGCGGCGTTAAGCCTAGGACATAAACTTTTAAAAAAATTTGATGTGCGGGGACCCCACGGACCTAATGTTTCAACAGCAAATGGCACAAATACATAATCTGAACATAAAGACTCATATTTGCGCCATTTACTTACTTCAGCTGCCTCCGATGCCGCCCCGGCCCTGACCGAAGTATCCCTTAGTTGAGAGGCAGCCAAAGTGTCTACACAAGTGGCGTCCCAAACAATTGCCTCTCTCCCAAGGGATCAATGTTAAACCGTCGGGTCTCTTACCATCGTCGCGTAAAACGCCACAGGGCTCTAAAATAGATGGAACATTGATGGAAACAAGAGCCCTACGGATGATGTCGTTCAGGGAACCGTGGCGAGAAAAACGGCCAGCACTTTTTTGACAAGAAAGCCCGTGGAGACCAAATTTGTCTACACTGACACCACAAGGGCATTGGTGTGGTTGACAAATCGGTGCCCCCAGACGGATTCCTACAGCAATGCGTAAGCTTTCATCGTCAAGTAATGTGCCCAAGTTACTTGATGGTAAAGCGTGAAGCCAATAACTCGATTCTTTAGATGAGACTCCTAGGAAACGGGCACACTCTAAATTACTTTCTAAAGATTGAAACGTATCACTCTGTACTCTCCGCACCAAAGGAACATCCCACTGTTTTTGTAGGTTTACTTCCAGTGGGATATTTTCGTTGGGACAGATACACAGCCAAGACATCCTTGCCTCCTCTGCATAGGAAAGTTCTGAATGGTGATTAAGGATGTTATTACATAAATTATTTACGCTATGCACGGAAGCAAGGAAGGTAGGCAGAGCGACACTAGAAATTTTCCTTACACCGATACCACCAAAACGAATTGGCAGCGTAGCTTGAGTCCAGCTTAATTCATTAAGAGATAAATTTAGAATTTTTTTTTTTAATTTTAAAGTGCTAATCTCTGCACTTAAGATTGAACATTAAAACATGTAGAAAAAGTACGAAAAGATTGTCGCCGCTGTGGGAATCGAACCCACGTATTCGGCATTCGCGGCCTGACGCTCTAGCCACTGAGCTAAACGGCTGATAGCCACAGCGACGAAAATCTTAACGCCTTCTTCCTACATTGTTATTTAGCATTTGAAGCAATGCTTGGCGCATCTATTGTTATATCCTTTCCAGCATACAAACAATTTCGAATATCGTTTTACAACGATAATTCGAACGAGAGATGTCGCCATTGCTTTTTATAATTTTAAAGTTTTTTTTTTTTTAAGTGCTAATCTCTGCACTTAAGATTGAACATTAAAACATGTAGAAAAAGTACGAAAATTGAATATTGTATGCTGGACCGCCAGCAGAGCCACTTGAAAATGACATAATTGCCTCGAAAGTGTCTTTATCGGTAATTTGCAAAGCCTGATATGAAGAATCGGGAGGCAGCGGTAGGAGCGGCGGAAGATTGATCGATGGATGCTTTTGTCGGAGGTTTTCTAGAGTCTAATCATTACACGGAGCAAGGATGTCGTCTGAAAATAAAATGCGCGATGCATTTTTTAAATCACCATCCATAACTTTAGTCTCTACAGTTCTTTTTAAATCGAATTTACGGGGGGGTTTAGTTATGGATGAGGCAGTCTTTAATTCAAAATTTTTGAATGAATTGCTCTTTAACTGAGAAGTAATTGATTTTGATACCGATTTATCAAAGTGAAAATGGGAATACGCAAAGGTAAATAAGTTATGCCAACTAGATTCAGTATTTGAGAAACAATTTTGAATACAGGTTGATAATGACTTGGCAAGCTGCATCCTTGCACCTCTCGGAATCCTTTTGAGTATTGGTACATTGCTATGGTAATAATAGATCTGTTCCGAAAACAACTTTATATTTTTGTCATTATAATCGCTAATAGTCTTGGTAAAGGTAAATAACTTTAACTCCGGCGTAATTCAAATGAAATAAATTTTAAACGATAGAGATAAATCTCTAATGAATTAATCAACAAGCAGAATTCGGCGGTCGCTTATAGTTTTCGAGAAAAAAAATATTTAAAACTTGTTTTTTGTACTAAGAAATCCACCATTTTATTTGTTTGACTTCAAAAACTCAATACACAGTTCTGCCAACATGATAAATATAGGAAGCGGGCGATATCATACACGTATCGATATTCCGATTTTATTAATTTAATGAATCACAGAACCGACACAGAGCGAATCCGACTCGGATAGATTAGGTTAGTCGATGTTAGGTTTTTTTTTTATGACCACCAAGAAATACGAGCTGAAATGACATATTCACAACAAAAAAATGGCGGATTTCTATAGTAAAAATCACACTATTTCATTATTTATTTTTTCGAAAACTAGAAGCGACCGCCGAATTCTGCTTGTTGATAAATTCATATGTGATTTTTCTCTATCGTTTAAAATTTATTTGATTTGAATTACGCCGGAGTTAAAGTTATTTATATTTACCATAGTCTTATTACAAAATGCGGTAGGCTGTGAAGCTGCAACAGGGTGAATATGACAACGTTTGATGTGAATATTTTTACCTTTAAAAAGCCTACCGTCGGAACAATTTTGACATGGTAGGAAATCCGTTTGAGAGCATGTACGTACATCGTTATTCATAATATTAAAAATCACCCTTGAAAAATTAAAATAAGGTCACTAAAAGTCACTAAAAGGCACGACGAGGAAGCCTCGCGACGACCCCCATGGCTCTTAACACGGCAGCGAAGCGTGGATGTGGAAGCTGAAGACAAATACAAATACATATCTGGGGCGACAAATTAGGTTAAAATATAAGAATTATTACAGTACTCCCCAGGTTTTATTGCAAAATCCAAGACAACATATTTTCAAGCGTTTGACAGCTGACGTTCCTGACTTCGATCGCAGAGAATTTGTTTTCGTTGGCCGCAAAAATATACTGAAATGCAAAATTTATTTCTTAAATCGGAGTCTTTGAGATTTTAAAACTGAACTTTCATCGGTTTTAGAGCCAAATTTGGCTTTAAAAATGAGGAATAAGAAGCTTTGTCACCTTGACAGCTTTTCATATAGTATTTGCTTGAAAGAGTAACAAACATCCATCCATACATACAAACTTTCGCGTTTATAATATTAGTAAGGGTAGTACAGAAGACCGGCGTGATTCTTGATTCCAGAATGATTATTTATCAGAATTTAGGCCTGAATACACTTTTAACAAGATATATATATATATTTGGATTTTTGGATGACACGGCAATCAAAACACAATTGAGTTTCTCTGTAAGTTAACGTAGTATCAAAACTTTACCTGTAAGTAAGGAAACGACATTTAATGTTATTAATCACAATGTCGATTCCTAAATCACTATTTTACATTAAGTATTTTTGTAATAAAATTATTTTCATGAATTGTGTCATATGACAGCTTAATTCTTTTCATATTATAATCCGGCGTCAACCATAGTTTTTAAAATAAATTTTATTAGCGGCCGATGCGTGAAAATATTTAAAACAAAGA